TGGCGCTGGCACTGGAACCCAGAGCTGCCACCACAGTTCATTACTGGTCTGAATACTTAAGCTTGCTCTTGCTCTCTCTTTCTGAGTCACTGAATATTTGGATATTTTTACAAAAGGGTGCTTCCCACATGAAGAATACCTCGCAGCTTTGTTCCAGGCAGTCTCCAGCCCAGTAAGTATTTTGGGTTTTTTTGCAGAGAAGGAAATAGTTCTCTGATGCTGATATCTCTAAAGGCAGAGAAGACAACTTAGTTCTCTCACATTTTGTATAGCAGTGGTAGGTGGCAAGCTTCTAGAGTAAAAGCTTTAAATACCTAAATTTAACAGCTGAATTAAGGTTTCAGTCTTGAACAGAGGCAAGTAACAGACAGAGATGGGCAGAGTTTAACAAGCAACTCCGGCTGTACAGATTTCAGTGGCTTCAAAATTTGGAAAACCTGACTCTTGGCTGCTTAGATTCAGTATCCAGACGCCCACACTGCCAGGTATTTAAAACAGGCACTACCAGTCAGAGTTGTTCCCAGTTCCTTTTGTAGATATGACCCTACTCAAGCCCATTCAATTCGACTTGGTCCATTTCTTTATGTTCATCTCAGAACGTTTCTTGAGAATATTTCCTTCAAGATGTGCTGCTAAAGCCACTGCAGGAACTGAAGTTTACAAGTTGTCTTTAAAAAAGCAACAAGTTGAATGCAACGTGTTGTGATGATTTTACTCTTAACCGCACAGTTCTAAGTAAAGATACAACTTCTGGTTACCAATGAATATCTGGTAATATTTTTTTAAAAATAAAACCTTCATGGTTGCAAAAAGAAAAAGTTTAGAAATGTGACTTCTACAAACCTCACGCTCAGAAGCCAAATGGAGGGAAGTCCATCCTTGATGATTTGTTTTCAAATCTCATGATCTTAAGCCACTTTTGTGTGGTGAGGGCAAGAGCTGACAAGTGATTTTTGAATACATGAAATTGGCAAGCACAAGCTACGCAGCACAGACAGAACAGGGGTCAGCCGACATGTCTCTTCACCAGATACTGTTTTTAATAGCTTATAACTTCACCATGCTTTAACCATGGATGCTGAGGCTTTCCATTCCAGGTGTCTGCCTTGGGCTATTTTTTTTTGGTTTTGTTGAGCCGGAGTAGTTCAGCTGGTTCTGAGATGATGGTTTTTTTTTTTGCAATAACTCCAAGGACCTTTTCTTTGAAGAGGTCTAGTAACACCACACTTTGGAGCAAAAACTTGGAAGTCTGGTGGCATGCAGCCATTGTTTCAAGCTCTTGCCTACTGCTATCATACAGTATAAGAAAAATCTAAAGATACTATATTATGTAAAACTGTCTATGATTCACATGAATGAAGACAGTTAACATCCACAAAAGGAGGTAGATACAGCTGCATCTCTTTAGCAGTCATAATCTGGCTGAAAGGCACCTCTATGGTCTGCTTAATCTATCCCTCTGTTCTGAGACAGAATCAAGTATGTGTAGCTCATCCTCTAGAAAATTTTGTAGGTTTACAGGTGATAATAAGGATGTCATGGTCACTTTAATAACCTGCTCCCCTGTGAGACCTCCGTACAGTCAAATTTTTCTCCCTCTAGTATCCAAGTTAAATTTCCATTGCTAAATATAAAGCACACTGCTTCCTGCCCTGCACTTAGTAGACAAGGAGAAACAAAGTTGATCATTGTCATCTTTGCTACCTACTGGAATTCTCTCAATGCAAACCACAATCCAGTTGGCTTGAGCAAACCTTTTGTCTTACCAAGGCGAGTTAATAGTTTGGGGTTTTTTTCCCCAGAGTATCACAGGATATCAAAATGAATCTAACTACCACAATGGTAAACCTTGTCCTGAGATACCTGGAATTTAATAAATCTCTTTTTCTTCTAATCATATGAACAGCTGCACAAATGAAAACATTTATAGCTATATCGTCCCTAGAGTCATCCTCTGGCATCTAACTACTGGCTTACAGGCATCCTGTAGCAAAAGACTGGGGAGAACAGACCAGACTGGGGAGAACAGACCTGTCTGCTGGAGACTCTCCATACTGTTTGGTGAGTTTTGTGTTTCGCAAATAAAAACGCACGAAGCAAAATTGTTTCAAGGTCAGATCACTATCTACATCTTTGACAGTGTAGATAGATATCTCTAACTGTACTAAATGCAACATAACTATCCCAAGATTTGATCCTGCTAATACCAAATAAAGACATCCCAAGCACTGTCAGGAGACCAAGAAGAAAGAACGTGAAACCAGGAATTTAAAGCAAATATAACTCTCAGATGCAAGGAAATATTAAAAGTGGATGGCTGTTGACTTCCATTTAGATGACATGGGCAGTATTCTCATTCCTATTGACCTTAACAGTACCTGCCCATGTGCCATGAAGTCCTTCACAGTAAAGGGTATCAGCAGATCACCTGGGACCTGACATGGTTGAAGAGAAATCACCTTTGCATAATTGTACTTGATCCTTCTTTCCAACCATTCTTAACTGAGAAAATGCATCATGAATGGTGTAACTCCTGCCATAAAGGAGGATGTAAAAGTTAGACTACAGTTAGAGTACAAAGCTTGGAAAAGGTAAGTCATATATGTTTTAAAAGCCTTTAAAAGGAAAAGAGTTTTTGTCATCATTTAAGAAGTGATTGCCAAGATTACTAATGCACCAGAAGTTTTGATGACTTTTTTCAAACATTAGCAAACTTGTTCAAACTTTTCTTCTGGAGCATGATTTTGCAATTATACAGGTAATATGAAATAAAAAAAAAACCCCACACATACCCTAAATGTATCTGATAACTGTTTGGTATTTAAAATTTTATGTTTTTTTTTTCCCCCCGGTACTTTTGCCTATGGACATATATAATCATAGCATGGCAGATTCATTGAGCAGAGAACTACTGAACTATCTGCTTCATTTAATGAATTGAGCCTGTTATAGGTAACAACTACATTCAGTCATACACTGAAGACTAAGTGTTTTAAAAACGGTCCTGATGAAAGTCCTCTGCACTGCTGAAGCCCTGTTTGAACTAGAGAAACCTTGTGTGATAAGACTTTGTGCTGAAGTTTCAAATCCTCTGATAAGTATTCCTGGCTGTACTTCTAAATATTTTTTTTCCCAAGATGATTTATTACATAAACAAAGTCCACACCAGAACTACAGATCGTTCAGCCCTTGAGATGTGTTTTTTTCCACTCTCAATTTACGAAAACACAGAGGCCCAAAAATAAAAACAGCTAATTGTAGTACTGCGTTCCAAATGCCAGATTTCAACTATTTATTTGAGGACAGTGACACCAAGTGGCAGAGACGACTCAAGTTCTTTTTTTCCCCTCCAGTTTTTCTTAACTGCAGCTCCTTCGGCACAGAAAAAGCAGAATACAGTTAACTGTGCTGCAACTTCCAACTGCTTTATTTGTTTGTTGTATTTATACCCCCATGTATTTAAATAGCACTTGATTTTTGAGAAGTTGACCTCAATATAAAACTCATCTGCTTGGCACAAAACTGATGATTTTTTTCCCATATTAAGGAAAAGATTTCTTCTTTATTTACACTATGCTGTTGGATTTCATGTCCTTTACTGATGTGTGGTATAATGAACTGCTGCACTTTGAGGATTTTCATGGCAAAGCCTTCTACATTTCTACAAGTTCTCCCTAAGATGTTAAAACATTCTTGTTTTTCCACCTTATTTTTGTTGAATAAACATAAAGGGTCTCTTACTTTTTATCCATTTATTCAATTCCTTCATATTGCCCAGTTTAAAAAAAAAACAAAACAGAACCCCAAATCAATACCCTGAATAGAATTATTATTTTTTCTACATTTCAGTGCACATCACCACCACATATTAGTGAGAAAAAGGTAGTACTTCACGAGTTACCTATTTTGTTATAGGCAGGAAAAATTTTCCTGATACAGTCAGTGTATCTCCTGGCACTATGCTGAAAGCAATAGCAAAATACTTTCCTTTCAGAAATAAAACCGAAACTGGCATTGGTTACCCACATAGCAAATGCAAAATACTTTCAGATGACCCAAAACAGTAATTGAAAGGAGACCTGAGGTAACTGCAGAAGAGGAAGCCTCTACTGGATGACATTTTGCCAAGAGTCCTACCTTAGCGCAATGAAATTTCTATATAATGATCTCTAAATGTGTATTTCATATATATAGTTATGTAAGGTACCACTTATTTGGAATAAGAATACTCAGTTACACTGAAGAGATGAGATATCCTTTGAGCAAACAAATTACTCTGAATGATCAAGGGTCTCAAAGTCTAGCCCATAAGGAACTCCTAAGCTGAATTTTTAAAAGTTTGAAGTTCTTTCACTGGTGTTTCCACTTGAATTTTATCTTAATACAAGTTATCTATGCCAAGGTTACAGTATTTTAGAATTTTTCACCTAAGGCATCACAATTGTTGACCTTTTTCTTGGAGTCCATCTAGCATCTTAAAAGGACGGATCTCCTGCGCTGCTGAGTGGATCTGTTAGACTTCTTTTATATACCTTCTATGAGCTTGAACAGAATTCTACCAAATTCAATGGAACCATGTCAACACAGTCATTTAAGTATGTGCTTATGTCTTAGGCAGGATCAGTGCTCCGACAAATACAGGTGTGAAAGACATAAACACTGAACGAGGGTCTACGCTGCTTTTGAAGATTAATTGCTCTTAAGAAGACAGGAGAAGAAATTAAATCCCTGACATGTTCATGTAACTGAATAAAAAGAAAACATTTTCATCTCTTCAAGTGCCCTTTGCTCCCTTTAGAGCTGAGCCTTTAGAAGACACCCACATGTTCAAAACAGTTTTGAAAATTTTTTTCATCAATGTCAGAGGAAAAAAAATTAAAATATAAGCCATTTCTACTTCTACTTGGCCAAGCATCAGGAGCTGCAGCGGCTTCTGGTTAATTCAAACTGCAGGATCTAATAGGAATGCAATAGCATCTACAAGCTGTGTTAGTACTTACATCCAAGCTTCCTTCACTTGTAGATGCAGAACTAAAAACATCCTCCTCCTGAACATCTCTGTTCATCCTCAAGTATTCTTCTGTCTGCAACACAAATAAGTATCCTACAGAGCAGTAGCAAAGGAAACAAAACTGCAAAAACATGCCAGAGTGAAACACCAAAACCCCATCACAGAATCAAGACAAACTGTCTCAGTAGTGCTGGACCTGACTGCTGACAGACTCTGAAGTAGTCTGCAAAATTCCCTGATGTAGGCAAGGTGCTAAGAAATTCATTAGCAGAAAGATTTAAGAACAATTCTTGGGCAAGGATGAAAATAGGTAGTAACTACTTCCTGTAATACTGGGGACCAGACTGCTAGTCTCTGCTATACCCACAGACACAGGGGAACAAGCAGGGAACTTCTTCTTGCCATTTCTCCATGAAGGAACTGTTTCTGAGTGCTAGCATACACCCTGCTTAAGCCTAGATCCCATGATTGTCTGCACAGGACCTCTGCTCTACTGGATTGCTTAGCAGTGCCAATTTGATCTGGATTTAGCCTCAGGCAAATGACTACATTTAACATCAAAAAGAAAGGGAGTTCATGCCACCTTTATGTTTTTTATGCCAGCTGCAGGAGAACAGAGGGTAACTGATCCAGCATAAAATTAGAATGGAGAGAACAAGATGATACCTGATCTGGCATTAAGTCTGCCAGTACAAAGTTAACCGAAGAAATACTTTCAAGAAATTTGTATCAACCATGAGAATAGAACTTTGCTTTCATTCTGTGTCATGGTGTTTTCAATACAGCAGAAACTTTTTTTTAGTAAACTTAGATCTAGTGTATTGTCACACCACGATTACTGCTTTCAGTGAGTTAGCTGAGAAATAAAGCATGTGTGTGGGCATGGAAATCTGAGCGTAGGCCTGCAGCGTGCAGTGACACTTGATCCAGGACAGTTTGCAACACAGGCAAACACTCTTCTTCCCTTGCAAAAGAAATTGCCTTCCCCTTGTAAAAGCCCGCAACTATGCAATACTTTGAACAATTCTTCCTATCAAATAGTTCAAAAATACAGACTGTGCATGACCACATACATACACACACACATCACTGCAAATCATAATGCAAACAAACAAAAAAATGAAAACAAATATGCAGAACCAACTTAAAGTCTAGTGGAGGAGTAAAAATGTAAGAATAACCATAAAGAGCAGAGTTTAGGCACCGGTGTTTTGATTCCAGTTCCCTGAAATCACAATCCCTTCATAAACTTAGCAAATCCTTTCTTAAAAACACTTTAATTATTTACCCTCATTCTGCTCAGTCTGTTCAGCAGCTTCATTGCTGTTTGGGATGGAAAACTTTCACAATACCAAGTCAGATGTATGATGGCTATTTATTTAACCCCTGCTTGCTCCTGTGTGATGCGCTCTTCTTCAGTTTTCAGTACTTCTACCATCTATTGGGTTTCAGACTCCCAGAGCTTTGTAAAAGGCAACAGTGATTTCCTTGCTTGACTAAACAAAGTGGCTGATTTAGTTTCTTTTCCTAATGAGTAACTGATATTTGAAAGTAAGAATCCAGCACAGAAATGACCAAGAAAAATCAATTAACTTGTCAGAACTAACACCAAGAAAGACTTAGACCTTTTCCTCAGATTTAGAAGCTTTCTCAGACTTTCTGCCAAGTCAAATACTACTTGTAACTTAATTCATCCTCAATATCCTTAGCATCTATTAAAATGTGTAGTTTAAAAAACTCAGAGTATAGCCTACTTTGCCTTTGATTAACAAACACAAGAAAGAGAACAGAAAAAAAAAAAAGAGTTTGCTATCTTGGAACACTCATCCCAAACTGCTGTGAAAAATCCACTGCAGTAACCACAGAATTAGGATACCTTATATCAACGTTTTCTAAGGTTGTAAGCATAAATACTTTAAAAGTTAAATCTCATCCGCTTCAGGAGCTAGAACTCCAAGAGCAGACTTCATACCCAAGTTCGTAAAAATGAAATCAGAGGACAAACTATGATGCAGAAACTGCATGCTGTAATATAACTGGTTCTTCCAGAGGAACTACAGAACCATAGCATCCTCTAGAAGCTCAAGTTGAGCTCCCTTGTTTACTTGATTCTTCCAGGCAGATACAGCATTATTGCTCCACTTATGCCTTTTTTCCCTTCTAAATTGGAAATATTTTCTGTAGAAAAACCACTCTGACAGTTACTGACTTCTTATCTCATAAAATACAGTCTCCATGTGTCCTTTATAAGATGGTAAGAACAGTTCAGCATCTATGACAGATGTGGTTTTTCAACACAGTAATTCACAATGTTCATAAAGGAACCTATTCCCCAGCAAAAGCACTCCAAATTTGATCATAACCAAAAAGGCAAAGAACTAATAGAGATTTTGGAAAGCTTTCACAGTTTAAAAACATGACTGAGAAGACTGAAAGGGTAAGTGAAACACCAGCCCATTAACAAGCATTTGTTTCTTACTGCCAGTTAGTCAGACACACATTTTATAATTCCACTCCAAAAGCCCTGAAGGGCTCTTTAAACTAGACAAAAGAAAATTCCCTTTTACTCTGACATCCTAGAATATTAAATACTTTACAATCAAAATTGGTTAACACTATTATTTTTAGAAAAGTATGAAGTTAAAAGCCCACTGTTTTTCTGTGTTCTTGAGTCAGAAATTTTTTGTCTTTTATTTCTGTGAGAAAGGAAAAATTCTCATATAGGTTTCTCAATAGAAGATAATTATTTTATATGAAATTTCTACACTTTCCAATTCAAGATTACAAACAAAGTTTAAAATGCCTAACATATACTCCAGCAGACACTGATCCTTCAGTTCACTACTGCAAGTTACTTCTACACCAGATTTATCGGCTTTACAGACTTGGAGACGGCAATAGCGTGACTGCACGGAGCTTCCCAAAGGTATAATGCTTTAAAAGAGATTATCACCCATGCACAGAAGAGGTCATAAGACACATCTACTTATGTGTCTTATGTGTCTTAATTGTTCTATATTACATCAGTTCTTTCATAAATGCATTTTATAATCTGAGCAGTACTAATAAGCAGACACAGGTTGCTTGAAACTATGGCCCATTGTTAACACTCATTGAACCCACAGCATTAAAAAAACAAAGGAAAAAGTAAATGGTCAACAAGCTTGACTCCTTCAATAAGCAGCTGATATCTCCATCAGGCTGCACTGATTACACACAGTTTATGCACCTGTTAACAGATTACTTACTCCCTGGAAGGAAAAGGAAAGCAGGCCAAAAAAATGGCATCACCCACAGACATAACAGATTTAGAACAAAACAAATTCTCTTTACTAAGCAGTACACTGCTGAACACTTACCTTGCTACTTCTTCTATCAGTGTTAAACAATCCCAGAAGTCGTGTCTTTTCTTTTTCTATTGCATCATTGCTTACTGAAGCCTTTCGATTTGGTTCTGAAACAATTTTAATGGAATAGTTTTTACATTTCTGAAATAAAGATTTGGTATTTTAAAGCATCCTGGATTGGTGCTGGATTTTTTTCTAAGCTGGAGATGTTATGGACTGGATTATCTAAGTAACTGCCAGATCTGCACTTTATTTGTCATCAAGCTTTTATTTGTTCTAGTATGTTCCAAAATCTAATTGAGTCAAATGGAATAATTTAATAAACTGCACCAAGTTTTCAATCACAATTCAGTAACTCTTATTAAAAGGTAAAATAAGAGCAAATTGCTTAGTCTTCAGAAATGCTTGTTGGATGTCTCACTTAAAACTCATAGAGTACTGTAATACTAAAAAACCCTAACAAGTAAAAAAAAGATGATATAGTGAATGTCTTTAACAATTCACAGGTGTGACTTAATACTGTGAAGTTAAAGGGAAGATTCTCAATGTGGATTTTGATAAAGCTCCATAAATCAGAAAAAGACCTGTCCCTTGAAAACAGGGCTCTACTTAGAACTTACACCAGCTGATTGTGTTCATCTTTTCTTATCTTGGTGCTTTTACTTCAGGTGGGAAAAAATGGGACTTTATAGTTATTTCAGGCTGTAAGAGCTCAGAAGTGTGACTGCCTTGAACCTGCTTAAGGAACTGTACGAATTCTCATTCTGTTTTGTCTCCATTTTCCCTCTTCAGTTTCTCATCCGCCAGCTGGATGAGCAAAATGATACAGTCATGGGGTACAGGAAACAACCACGTTTCCCATTCAATATACAGACTGTAAAGCCCTCTCACTTTTTTTTAATGGACTCTGCATAATGCTTGAAAAATCTTTCTCTCTGGTTCCAAACACATCAGAGCATTTCACTGGTGTACGGAAAGTTTAATTTGCAGGGAAGAATTTTATTTTGTTAATATTTTATTTGCTTAATAACAATTAAGAAGCAAATTCAAAATTACTTTTTTGTCGACATAAAATAAAGGTTTCCTTCACAAAAAAAAATCCTCATCCCAGAACTCCTCTAAACTTATTTGCATATCACACAAAGCACATGATTTGCACATAGATCACTACTGCATATAAACAATGTCAGGTGTTAGAAGGTGTTAAGCACATACAGTAGTTCAAAGCGCAGCAGAACTGTAAAAATGATGAACCCAAAAGAAAACAGGGAGAAACTATCCTTAAGAAAGACTACAACTACACTGATACCAAATACAGTAATAAAATAATACTTCTCTTAATACTAAGCACTGCCTATGTTCATCAGAAACTGCTGGTTTTCTGCTTGGGGTTGGGCTGTAACTAGATATGGATCTTGATTCACATATTCATATAGTCTTCAACTATAAACAATAATGCTGAAAGTCTAGCATAATTAACCTCAGGAACAGTTCATTATCAACTGTGCCATTAAGCAGTGTATAATCCCAATAAACTGGGATTTAAACACAGCCGGTGGTCCCGAAAGAATGAGTCTTCATTAATCTGTACCATTTTTTCTTAGACAAATACAGTAGATATTCCCTCTATCATTAAACTCCATATAAGAGGAAGCCACATTACCAAAGTAATGACAGAAGATTAGGGGGCATAGTACTGCATTAGTGAAGCCAAGATGCCATGAGCTAAGAGTTGCTCAATGGCTGCCACCCACTGGAGGTGGGCTTCCTTTCTTCCTTCCCAAAAATTTAAAGAAGTTATCCAGTTTTATTTTGATTATGTTGTGTCTACTAGTAATGCAAAGAAGTAAAGCCAGTTAAAAATCAACCATGCCTTTCTTGAGGATAATTAATTTAAGCAATGTATTAAAAAAGAGTTAATGGAAGAAAAGCACACACTAAATACACACATTTTCTGTTTAACTAGAAGCAGAAGCACAGGTGTAATCTAATCAAACCCCACATACTGTAACAATTCACAAGTCAGCATCTTTTCGATTATCCAATGTGTATATATAAATTTGATATTAAAATGCCTTGCTGCGTGTAAATTGAAAACAGTGGAAGATCCCTAGACCTCAAAATATTCTACCTCTGCTATTAAATAAATTTTCAACCCAAGAGACCTCTAAAATGTTAGTAATTCTGAAATTCAACTAATCATGCTTTAGGTAACCTGAACAGGCTTGGTATCTGTATAGAAACATATCATACTACAGAACAGTTAAATGGCAGAATTTGTTAATCGCTGGCATCTTAATGGCAATTCCTGAAGAGCCAGTATACATAGAAGTGTGTTTGTTCTGACCAGCAGCACAGACACATAAACGACACTTTGAAAAGACAACACAGACTGAAAACAGCTTGTTTCTCTACAGCCTTTTACTCAACATTCTTAAAGATCTATCAACGAAACCCACATTAAACATAGCGTGAAGTGACAGACAGTTTTCCTTCAGCAGCATTGTACAGTACCTCTATAGTTCAGAGAAGGTTCAGACTGAGTTTTTGATGGAGGAACTGGAAAAGGCAGGCAATGAAAGGATAAGAGAAAACACATTAAAGTTCTAATATTGCCTTGTAAGGCACAATATTCATTAATTATTCCTAGTGTTTTTTTTGCTAAGTATTACAGAAAAAAATGTTGACTGACAACAGGCATGCAGAGCTGCTACTGAAGCAGTTTAGCTGTGTTTGTATTAATTCCTGATTCACTCGTGAAGCTGCTTCAACTGCTAAATCGAATTAAGTAAGCAGGTGGCAGCAGAGCTTGTCTTTTAATAATTCTTCAGCACTTGGTGTTTCTGTTTCAGGGAAGGAAAGACTGATGAGTTTTTCTAGAATCTGCTCTTACAAGCACAGCCTAGGCTTTTAGCACCTCTGACGCCTTACTTGTTAGAGGGAAAGTATTTTAAAAATCTGTATGTTCTGATAACTAAACAGGCTGGATAACTACTCAATGCACAATTCATTGACCAACAGCTACTAAAACCAATGGGTTTATTCCTCTTGGAGATTACAAATGAGAATATGGAAGAAGGAATATGATCAAACAAAGGAAACATTTTTGTAAATTTTATGTGCATTTTCTGGTTTTCTCAGACACCACGGTACGGAGTAACAGGAAGACAGAAAAAGCTGAAACACACTCAGGATCAGGAGGATTTTATCATAGTGAAAAGTACACTGAAAGGTTAAAAAATAATAAAATATATATTAAAAAGATCTAATGTAGAGAGCAGTACACTATAAAGTGTAATACAATTTGCTGCTATAATCCCAGCCCTGTAGTAAAGTCTTGTTTTTTACTGTATAGGCTACAACCAGATTCAAGGACCAATAGTGTACGAGCATATACGTCATCCTTGTCATTTGAAAGGAAAGACTTTAAGGCAGACGTGTAAGTAATGAGAGTATGTTGAACGAATCCTGTTGAATACTCTGCCTGTTCAATACATTGCTCCAAAATGGTTAGCTTAATTACAAGTAAACGTCTTAAAACAACAAACATGCAATTGAGTTATGACATCGTCAACCTCTTTTTTGAGTATCTTAACAATTCAAATGAAAAGGAGATATTTAGTTTACTTAGAAGTCTAAACTCATTGAAATTTGACTCGCACAGAGGTAGAATTGTCACTTATCAAAGGAGTTGGAAAGAAGAGACAGAACGTCAACATAAATAAATAACTTTATAAATAAAAAATAAGCCTGCAGCTCAGCACCTACAAGAATGACATTATCTAAACAATAAATAAGGATATTTACTGTGTTGGAAGTGATAGCAATTGAAACAAACTGCAGGAGACAATTTTAATGAATATCACTTTCTGACCTCAAAGGAAGTAGTGCTTGTCAATGTGTATTTTTAAAGCAGGTATATTTTAAAGCATATCACATAATTATGCTATTTGAATACATAATCAGGCCGATAAAACTCAAGTCTAAGAAGCTGCTACTACAATGTCGTCTATCAGAACAGAAAGTGAGGATAAATAAACAAGAGAAAAAAATTTCAAATACAAATACCTCTTAGTTCCTCTTCACTAAACCGTCAATAATTTCGCTCTTTAGGAGCCGTCGCTGAGCCTATCCAGTCTGTTTCTCATAAACCCTGGTCTGTCGCCTCTGCCTCTCAGCTTTCACAGCTGCCATGACTATGGCATGTCTCTTCTTTCTTTCTCTCTAACCCACAGCACAGGTAAATGACAGCCTCTGCCTGGCTGAGGCCCCTGTGGTACACACACCTCTACTGACAGCAGCTCCAGGATGTAGCAAAGCTCCTCCTTTTGCCCTGCCCCAGGCCAGTCTGCACCCTGCCAGTGTCCAGCCCAGCCTGGCACAGGGCCCAAGAGCAACCAAGGACAGCTGGGCATGTTGCTGACCTGGTTGCTTCTTTGGACATGGCTTACTGAACAAACTCATGCTGCTCTCTGGACTGAGATGTCACTCTGCTGTTTCAGCTGGACTCCAGAGGAATGGCAGCACAAATGCTTTTAAGTTGCCCATACTACTGTTGTCACAACATATAACCCTGCAGCAACTTCTTTCAGTCTCAGCTCACCTTTTTTCCTGTCCCAGGCATACAGCTCCTTTATCCCCAGCTCCTCCAAGGACTTGGTAAGCTCCAGTTCCTCCCCAGTTATGCCATCTCTCAGAAGAACAATATGCTCTTGACTGACTTCACACTTCTCACAAATAGCTGGGATGATGTTGTGGAGAGGCACCTCTGGACTAACTCGAACCACAGCCTTCTGTGTCTTCAGGTAGTTCACTACCAGCCTCACAGATTTCTGCAGAAACAAACACAAACTCTCAGTCTCACCTCTGTGATGGCTAAACTATTTTACAATGAGAAATGCACTGGGGAATTCCATATTGTTTTGACTACTCTCAGGCAAATTTAACCTGCATTGAAAAAAAATGTTATTTAAAAAAAAAATCTCAGACCTCCCTTGCCACTAAGAAGACATTAACAAGAACAGGCCAAGAAGGAAAAGGAATCAGAGGCAGAGGTAATTTGTGAATGTTCACAAGTACCACTTTGAAAGGTATGAGAGTATAATTAGATATTGATTCAGAATAATAAAAATTTCAGCAAACATTTGGAAAATGACTACTTCTGAATCTTCACAGTAATGTAAAATACATTTATTAATGATCAGTCTTCTCCCACATCTTTAATAAAGACGGCAAACAAAATATCGCCAAAACTCCATGTACCTCCATACAACCCCATAACTCTCATTTCAGTCATTACTGCAAATTTCAATCACCCTGATCTTCAGATTTCCATCCAACCACATGCAACATAACATTTTGTCTAAATGTCTAGACTAGCCTCTACCAATCTGCATGCAAAACAGTTAAGCTAGTAAAGCAGGTTATAGTCAATCGTCTTTTCCATCCAGTTCCAAGATGAAAAGACTGGAAGAACTGCTTGAAATCATAGGAATGAAATGATGTTTCATGGTACCATTTTAGCCCAACAGAGTACTGACCTCAGGGACTCTTGGCAGAGGTCGCTTTGCCTTCTCTTCGGGAACCTTCTCTTTCAGAAGTACTGTCTCTACGTCCAGTGCTCCTATCAAAGTGTTTGGCTTGTAACTCAGAACTTGTTGAGTTCCCGAAGACTTCAGTTCAAGACTGTGTTGGGATGGATTTAAGTGATACTGGCTGCATAAATCAACCAATACATCCATCACAGCTTTACTGCAAGGAAGAAGACATTCACCATTAGCATGAGAAAAAACAGTTTTAAGATGGGAGGAAAAAAGACAATACAAGCTGAGGATGTCTCACTAGATAACCATCTTTATGAATGATCAGTGCTAGTGCTTTGAAATGCTAAACAGATCAGATAAAATGTTAGGAATTAATATGTTTGCACTTCAGTGCCTGTTTATGAGCTGGCAATTAACTATTCACTCTGAGGCAGACAACAGTGCCAATCATAGCACTAACCAACATAAGCCAAGAGCAGACAACGTGTATCTTATCTCCTAAATCCATACATTAAACTCTCCAATTCAAATGCTGTTCTTTAACATGAAGACAAAATACAAATAAATTATGCATTCATAGTCCAGTAAACTCTACCTAGATTTGAATCATCACAGAACTCAAAATGGAGCATTTAAATCCAGAACAAACAGTGGAGAGGTTTATTTTTCCACCTTACGTTTTTGAGTTCCCCAAATCCATTTGACACCAGCAGTATTTTCAAGTACAAGAGATCCTGTCCATATTTATTTTGGTGAGGATATTAACCCTGTACGAAAATATCTACAAAATATCTACAAAATATGTACAAAATATCTATTTTGAGTGTTTGCATTATCGGTAACTCTTACTGCAGATGTGATTCTTAAACTGTGAGATTAAAAGAGTCAGCAACTATCCCTCTCTTATTTCATGCCTCTGCACAGAGGTACTCCATTTTGTGTCAATAATTCAATATTCACTGGAGCTTGATACTTCCCGACACAGCCGATATGAACTGTGCCCCCCCACACCTCTGAAATTCTCTTCTACCATGATTCTGAGGTGGTTTTTTTTTACAGCTTTCTCTCCTAAAATTCCATACAGGATCAGAGAAACTAGATTTATTAAAACTGGTAATTTTTCTGAAAAGTTTTGTTTTCACAAACCAGTGTCTGTCATTAACAAAACAATGTAAGTTGAAAAAAACTTCCAGCTGTAGCTGAAGCCTGTCATATATAGTGGCTTCTAGTAGAAGTGAAAATAAGTGCATACACAGTATATTTGTCAAAAGAACTGTCACCTCTTCTAATATTTAAACTGGAAAAACTGTATAGAGATTCAAAATGCAAGCTATTGGCATCCGGGAAACTACTCTCTGGGAGGCTGCCAATCTCCTTTCTGTGGGTATGTTGTGGGCCAACAACTGATCAAGAATTTGGTGGAAAACCCCGGAGAGCTAATGGCAAAGACAATGAAAATGGAAAAAACAATTCCTTATTAACAGTCAAAAGATTAAAATATACGTAGATGACAGCTCTTCCCATGCAAGAGAAGAGAAAAGACCTGCTTTACAGTCATCTAACTGAGCTACACAGTGTGAGCTGGAAAAATGGCAAGTGTGGAAAATTTGAAGTATGTGATCTCACTGAAAAGAACACAGAAGATGATGACTGAAGATCAAACAAAGAAAACATGTCATTAATATGTATAGGAGGCTTCAGAAAAATTAGAACACTCTCGCAACTGCTAACATAGATACCATCTAAATACAAACATTCAGCAACTAAATCAAAACCGTATGAGGTCATTTCAATGATGACTTATTCTGGTACTGTCTGCAAGTTGAAAATGTCTGTATCTCACAACCATGTTCAATTCATATGCAACACATCACAAACCAACAGACACTTACACCTACTAAATCCAAACTATAGGAGAATCCCATCTTCACCAATATTTATATGAATATTCATTAAACTGTGAAGCAGTGAGCACTTTAAGAAAGTGTCAGTTCTCCTGAAACACATTTTAGCTTGTCTGTTTAAAGACATATTGCTTTTAAACTAAAATATGAATGTGTTTGTTTCCCCTCAGCCTTATTACTGTCGTTTCACAGAAAAGCAAGTAACCTGGTAAAATCACAATACATGCTGTTCTATGTGCTAGACTTTTCTATTTGAAGTAGAACACTAATTTATTTTTATAGTGCATAATATTGTGATAATTCATTCAAATTTGGACAGTTATCTTACCTCTTGTAAAAAGAATATTAAAAAAATACACTTCATCAAAATAACAGTTTATGATTCCACACATCTACCACTGAAAATATAAAATATGTTCAGCAGCAACAGTACCACAACTACAACAACATCAGAATCCACACCAGCCATCTGAGAAAATCAGACTCAATCATGCAAGTTGAACAAATTTGTCTGGACAATGGACAATTCAAAAATCCAGTCAAATTTGAAGTTTCATTTTACTGCTGATTACAGAGCAGGCATGTATTAAACATAACACATAAGGAAATCTGCAACATCCCAACCTGTGCCGTGCTACTCAGAATACACAACTGAAAAGTATACCAGGCTTCATCCGTACCATTTAAAAATACAGATTAAGAAATACCTCCGACGCTTCTGAAACAACTTCAAAATGAATAGTATGCTCTTCCCAAAATGTAAATTTGGAAAAAAATTTCCACAAAACTTCTAAAGTATAAAGAAATAAAGGGAAGAGGAAAGAGAAAAGAGGAATTTCACAAGCAAAATTCAAAATTCATGTGTTTCAAGGGAAGTAAGAGAGCTGGGAAGTCCTTGCCAATGAAGTTATTCTTATATCAAATTTCAGTGGCACCAACTGGAAAGATTTTCCTTCTAAACTTTAATACAGTTCAGTTTAATTTTATATTGGATTCTTATTTCAAGTTAACTCCATGTATATGCCATACACAGACGAGAGACACTAAACACAGCAAGAGAATTGTAACCTACTAGTCTAGATCAATTTTTCTTTCTAACCTTAGGCTGAATATGGCTCTTGGAAGATGTAAAGAGTCAGTCCTTCCTTTGCCTACATCTTGTTCCACACATATCTGCACTGTCTTTTAAGTTGCTTTCGAGGTCTGGTAGAGAGCATACTCTGTTTTGAAATTCAGGTAGGTCTGATCCTAAACAATTAACTCTAAAGCTGAAATTAACTTACATGTCTTCTGCCTTTCCAACTACTCAGCTAAGAAACACCTTATTTTTTTTTATTTTAGTAAGATGTTACTGAAATTTTATGTGGAGAGACCAAACACTATATAACAGACACCATATGTTAATGACTGATAAGCAAATACTAGAGAACAGAAATAAAACTGGAGGGTGAACCCAATTTAAAACTCCATCAAGAAAGTCCATATGGCTATTCTGAGAGTAAGGAGAGTACTTCAGCTCTGTCCTGATATTCAATTACTAAGCTGTTTGACAACGCCAGTTCTGGACAGTAAAGAATAACTACTCTGTCAGCAATATTTATCACGCTGAAGCTGTGATCAAGTTTGAGCTTCAGACTGCTTGTGTCCTGTTGTTCTCCAGTAAAACGCAGCAAAGGCCTGTAGTTTTAAGACGCATAAAACAACTGAGTTGTTTTGGGTGTGGTTTGGCCTAATCTTCTTGGATCACATAGAGAAATCCATTTTAAAAATACAGCCCTATACATCTAAGAAATAAATGTGCAAGGTAAAGTTGTATTCTATCAAATGAAACCAACTTTCTTATTACCTTCTACCTTCATTCTGCAAATGTCTTTCAGTATCTGAAAGGGAGCCTACAAGACAGCTGGAGAGAGATTTTTCACAAGAGTAGGAAGTGACAGAACAAGGCTTAATGAGGGTGGGTTAAATATTAGGAAGAAATTCTTCTCTGGGAGGGTTGTGAGGCACTGGAATAGGTTGGCCAGCGAAGTTGTGGATGTCCCATCACTGGAAGTGTTGAATGCTAGGATGGATGGAGCTCTGAGCAACCTGGTCTGGTGAACGGCACCAGACCCCCCCATGGCAGGGGGGGTGGAACCACATGATCTTTAAGGCTCCTTCCAACCTAAGCCATTCTATGCCAAAAAAATATCTCCAACTAGAGGAAAGAATTCTCGTTATTTAGATCAATGCCAGATACACATTAGGAATCTACAGTGACAACTGACTGGCAAAGAAACACTATAGTGTAAAGGGGGTGACCTGAAATCTCTAATGCTTTCACTATCTGCATTTAAAAACAGAAAATAGCATTAGTCATTATTATTTTCTCATGCTCCAAAATACAGCAGGCATTTCATGTAAAGCTTAAAATTTTTCCTACACAACCAGACATGTATACACTAAATAGCAAGCTGTATCCAAACAAGTTCAGGAAGCATGATAAACAGACACCCATAAATGTTTTCTATTTCTTTTCTTATTTTGCTCATGTACATTTGGTTCTTATTTTCCATAACTGAGCAAGTCCACAGGAGGAACGTTAAGGTGACACACGAGACGAGGCAGAGGACTGGGTTTGTTGAGCCTTAAGACAAGAAGGCTGAAGGGATATCTTCCTGCTGTCTGTAAGTATGAACTGGTAAGGTTACAGAGCCAGATTCTTCTTGCCAGTGAACAGCAAGAGGGTGAGCGGGAAGAGACAAGCGCCAACACAGAAAATTCCATTTAGGTACATGAAAACATTTTGTGACCATGAGGATGGTCAAGCCCTGGAAAAGGGGTACAGAGACATTCAGAAACTTCCTCCCTTGAGGTATTCAAACTTGCCTAGAAACGGTGAGTTACAGTGGCCCATTTCCAACATAAATTATTCTGTAAATTATTCTAGGAAGATTGTCTCTTTTTTCTTAACCTGCATTGAACTACTGTAGTTTTGACCTGACTCTTATTTAGTATTTAGTTAAGCTAATTTTTAAACCTTCTGCCATGCGCCCTGTTTATCTTTTTATAACAACAGCTCTTTCATGTTTTACCAACCTGGCTTGATTTCACACTTTCAGTCTTTCTTGAAACACTGTTCTGTATGTTGGGCTATAAACCCGCAATAATGAGTCTATTACTGCCAATTATGCGAGAATAGTCTTCCTGCAATGACATTAGCTTTAGGCTCTGCATACTCTGCAGTGAATGCTGTCCTTGAGTATTTGCAGAATGGGACTACAGTTTCGGCTAGTTTATTATTTATTTCAGTGTCCTCCCTGTGCATCATATACATGAGAGAATTTGTGTAACATGTAAGATAACAGCAGGACCAACAACTTTCCAGTTTACTGTTCTGCATATTGGTCATCCATGGCATCCATGACAACTCCAAACCAAACACCATTTAGCTTCAAACATTCCCATTTTTCTACAATGCATTTCAAATACTACTGAATTCTCAAGCTGCTGACACTTTGTATCTGTGTTAATCAGGGAAGTTCTCCTCAGTGTCACTCAGTGTGAATGGAGACAGATGCATCATCCTTTTATTTACAGGTTACCTATTGAAAACATTACCTGTGAGAATCACAAACAGAAGAGGTTTCTGGTAACTCTTGTGAGCTTTCCCACTTATTTTCTGTCTAAATGTCTAGCCATCACCTCTCTCAGACCTGTTAACAGTTTGTGTGGATCTGCTACAGATCTATATGCATAAAATGCATGTGGCACACACTCTGCCTATGCATTCAGATGTCAATTAGTGCTCATACAAAACCACAAACATAGAATAGTTATTGGGGTTATTTTATAGTCCTTTTCAGTGGGAAGTAGGCTAACAGTTTTTCATGAATACTTTTACAGTAGAGTTCACAGGGATTGATTATTTCAAAAAAATAATTTTTTAATACTATTCGATTGCTGCACACCCTCCCTAAGGATTCAGTTTAAAATCTGCACTACATAGTTCCAAGATCCCAAACAAATTGTCTGTTACAAGATGGCAATAAACTCTTAGGGAGAGACTTTTAGCTTGAGTGAACTTTCATAAATAAAATTGTTTTAAAGTTCCAGACTCCAATAAAATATCTTGAAACAGCACAAACTTTCTACATAGAGAACAAAGCTAAATTAACAACATGCTGCTTTGCTCACATATAATGAACAAATTGAAATATTTAATTTTTACTTTTAACTTAGTTGATTTAGAATAACCTTAAGTGATACTAATTGCCTACAGTATTTATCTTTTCAAATATAATCAAGTGTACTTCATTGTTCTGTGAACTGCTTTCCTGAAATTACAGAATAATTTTTTATTATGAAGATGCCCAGGGCAAGGTTTTGCAAATTTTTCCGCAATAAAAAAACTATTTCCCCAGGGTGCCCAAAAGCAGATTTTGCAGAATGCAGTTTTGATGATGGCAACAAAAATACTGAAGATTTACAGCAGTATAAACAACAGTAGGTTTTCTGCAATGCCCTTTTATGATATCACCACAGATAAAAAGAGTGAACGGGGAAAAAAAATTCATTACTTGCACTGGCTCTTATACTTGCCTCAAACTAAAAAAAAAAACCCAATTTTTTTTTAAACTTCAGTATCTCCATCATTTAATGTCTAGCTATGGCTATCACTGTCTTCACAGCTGTTCAGTTCACAATGCCAAAACAATGCAAAAGGTTGAAAAAGCCTGGGCTTTCACCCAAACCCAGATACTTAGGACAGTTCATCCACTACAGATTTCAGATACTCTTGACCTTTTACTATTCCACATACCTAAAATCATTACCAGTATTAATGTACAGAAAATTACATCTTCCAGTTATTAGAAAGAACAGCAATACATGTGAGGTCTGTTCACAGACTGATGGCACTGTAATACAGGGCTCATTACAGAGTATCCTTTTCTTACTTCATAACTTGTTAGGATGATTTATTCCCCCTTCCTCAATTTCTATAATCTTCCACTTCCCACAGTTGACTATCTGTGTCACTGACTTCTCCACTCCAAGTCTTCAAGACAGCGCTGAGGGAGAGCAGCTACTACCTAGGTTAGGCACTGGTGATATGCAGATTAGCACATTAACACAAGCAGGAATTTAACTGCCACCTAAATCAGAGCCCTACACCTGTCATGCAGTTACTGGAGAGAAGTGAACACCTTCACAAACAACAAAGAGAATAGTTTGGTTTCTTAGAATGCTTAATGCAGACGATACAAATAACCCCACAGAAACATGTGAAGTTTCATTTTCAACATTTCTTTCAGGTTTTAGTCCACAGACTAAAGACTCTAATAAACGAAATACTCAGTCTCAGTGTATGTGATAGGTAGTGATAAACAACTGTGCAAGACACAGAATGTTTATTGTACAGGGACTTTCTAGTTGTTCTTTGCTCCTCTAGCTTTTATGTTCTTCAAAAAGTCACATTAAAACACCATTCTTCTAGTGCTCTTGGACTGTTTGTTCTGGGATTATGGTTTTTTTTTGAGGGAAAGGAAAATATTTTCTAACCATATGGCAATTATCTATGTCTCAGTACAAAATGCTGCATGAGTATCAGCCTCTTGTCAGCTCTCAGCTTGTCAGCTCTCAGGTTTGAATTTGACGGTGAAATAACACCTTTCTTGGATCTAATGGCTCATGAGTTTCGTGTCCTGTTCTACTTCTCAGGCCTGTTCTCTTCTTTCTCTCATTAAATCCACATCGCCCCATAAAAACTCAATTACATGTCTAATCTAAAAGCCCTGATAAGCACTGCTTTCCTTTCAAATCTTTAACATCACTCTGGCTTTGGGACTGACCCACACAAGTTGCACTAGTCTCCTGAGAGCGAATAACAACTGCTGTACACATCCTCCTCAGCCATCAAAATACACTAACAGGCAAACAGTTAAAACAGACTAATATACCAGACCAAAAAGAGTAGTTCTACAGGAATGCAACTAACTACTGAAAACCCCGAATGTAAAATAAGCACAGACCCTGCTTTATCAACAGGCACCTATATATCCTCTGAATTTGATGTTACACTTCCTACAATTTATCTGCTGCTGACCACACCATTGTTTGCTACAGTTTCATCATAGTATTGATTATATTTTTAAAAGTTTTTCAAATTATTTCCTAAAGTAACATCTCCCTCTTTCAAACCAATTCACACAGAAAGGATGAGGATAAGAAAGAGTTTCCATAGTGAAGAAAATTATCTTAAAATTGCCTTTCCAATACAATTTGCCCTTGGTTGTACCCAGTAAGTAGCAAGGAGAACCTCTTCCTCTTTATGGAAAAAAATACACTTCTCTATATAAAAGGCTTCCTAAACACGAGCAGATGCTTTGCTGTCTACACAACTGCAAAGTATTTGTGAAGGTGGCATCTCTGAATGTAAGGAATCATTCATCTTCCAAACTTGCTTTTTGGCATGATTCCAGGCAGTCATACTGTCAGGACTGCTGTTTGCCAGGAGCCACCTACTTCCACTGCACCAAACCCATTCTGGATTATGAAATGTGATACAATCTAAGCCTACTGGCACTACATGAAATAGCTGCACATGTGCTGATTGTGGTCCATAGGGCCAGTGACACAGTAGCTGCTAAATTCTTCCTGCCCCAGAAGAGAGAGTCCTTTACATATGGCTCTCAGGACTCTCTGGTGCAGCAGTTGCTCAAAATGCAGAGAAGCGCATGACAGAGAAATCCCATAAAGTCAGAAAGGCAGACACCAATATCAGCAAATATCCCACTGGGAACAAGGGGCTCCAGAAAGTGGGAGATAATCAAAGCCCTACCTTCCTTGTACTGTGTTCTTCTGCTCCACCCCGCTGGGTAAAATGACTGTGAAGTCCACCAATCTGTTTATCATGTTCTCCTTCATGCTCACGAGGTTCTGATCAGAAATTACAGCTGTCTCTGCAGGAGACTTGCGCTCACTGTGAATTCTACTTGCTGCAGGTTGATTTGGTGGAGGAGGAGCACGAGCTTTCATTCTTTTCCTTGAGAAAAAAAGGCAAGAAGAAAATTAATAATTTCTTGCAAGAAAAGTATAAACACATTACTAAGAGATACATGTTCTTTCAGCCATAATCTCAGATTGTTTTAAAAAATTCCTCTAATGCGAGTCATTTTCTTTATCATGAAATTTTTCAATGGAGTTGCACTTTTATTTTTACCTCTTCTCTAAACATACACTAATTTTTTAATAATGCACTCACTCCTACTGTTTGTTTTCCATGTTCCAGGGGATGAATCAGTTTCATAAGTGGGATATGATATAATAATTTTTCTGTCGAGTATGAAGCCTGCTCCAATGAAGTGAGAAACAGAAATGCTGGGTCCAGTCCAGACCTGACGCAAGAAAGAGTTGTATTTACATACATGAATGTTTCTTCCAAGTCAGAATGGCAGGAGTGGAGGCAGGGTGAGGTTTCATTTAGCTACATTTGGGTTCCACAGTATTACTCTACTTGAAATATTGTCTCCTCCTCTGCTCTGAGTTAGTAGTATTAAATCTGGCTCATCATACTTCACAGGGAAGCACCATGAAAAGGTCAACTGTGAATGATATCACTTCTTACCATACAACACTAGGCTATAGCTCTTTGAAAGCACCCTGAAAGGAACTCATTCTTCAGTAGCAGGCGATGCACAGCGTGTGATATACAAAAAAGCTGCATCAGCTTGCACCAAACAAGCAGTGTACTTTACAGAGATAGAAACCCACCACAAATTCAAAGTTTACTTCATTGGCAAGCTGCCGGACAGATAAGCAACATATGTGTGCTGTTAAATTTCTGAATATCTGGCCTCATACCAAGCACATGTCTAAGAGGATTAACTCTGATGATTAATACCCCAGTGACCTCTTCTGACTAGATTTATGCCTAGTTTAAGTCTGATTTTAGTGTAACAGATGGAAAAAGCAGTAAAATATTTACTCAGAAATTATTACCCAGGCTTACTGCCTGCATTTTTAAAATTTTTCTGTTTTAGGATGCAGGAAAAGAAAAGATTATAATTCTGCACATCATTTTCACCCCACAAGCAACATAAGCCAAGGTCCAGAAAGGAAGAGTACAGAAAAAGCACTCTAACCCTACAAAGCCTGGAAAGCTTAGTGGTTGAATCAGCCAAAGACAAAACTGTGTTTAGGGGAAAAAAAAAAAAAAAACTGAACTGAAATACCAAACCCAACTCTTCTTTAAGAAGAGATAACCTGTATTCTCACAGATAAAAAGACTAAACATACAGCTTGGATTATCAGTGTAAGCTCCTGGCAGAGAAAAAATAGTAAGAGTTATATTACATAAAAAAAAAAAAAAGGGGAAAAAAAAAGATTAGTTCAGAAACAATCCAAACCCCTTATACTTTTAAGTCAGTTTTGTATTTGACCAACAATTTCTATTACGTGTCTCAACTACAAAAATTTGTTACACTGCCTTGAAAATACACATTTCAGTTAGACCTCTGCAGGATACTGTAAAATTAGCAGTGATGAAGATATTGCCTTTCTTTTCCTGTGTGCATAGCAAATAGCATTCTCTACAAATATGCAGGGCGAGGTACTGCTTTATTTATCAGCATACTGCAATTCCTCTTCCATTAGAAGTTTTCCCTGAACATTCACTTTTTATCCTGTATACACCCAATGAGTCATGAAGTCATCAGTCACTAACTTGCAGCTTCTACGCTCCTCCCCGTGGAGGTGATGGCAGGAAGTTCAAGGCTTTACTGTTTGTCAAACTACCTTGACTTTCTATATCTCTATGAAACTCTTACTTGTCTGTCAGAAAAAAAAAAATGGGATTCACCTTCTGCTCACATACCTTTACCTTTAGCTACAGTTGTTATTTGTAAGCAGATGGTGAGAGACGTGGGAGTTTTGCATACATCCAGATCATGCCAACACAGCCTTACAATCATGCAGTGCAAAGTTTAAGGACTTCATATCAATTTACAAATGATGTAATTCTTGCCCTTCATAACACCAACAGCATCAATAGTAGCTACAGAGATTCACATCAACCTGTTTCTTAAAACAAGCTTTTATTTTGGTTTTTAAAGCTTGTCCTATAATGTGGGAGACAATTGCAACAGTGTTCCTGACAAAGTACCAAAATGGGTGGGAAGAAAAGAAGATGACAAGTGTTCTGAGGCTAGCAGAACTAGTTGTAAATATGAGTTACCTGGACTTGTAAATTCCAGATCTCACACTGAACAAAGATAAGAAAATAAAGCAATGGTAATAAAATAATCATGAAACTGAAAACATCTGAAATGGAAGAGACTTGAAGAGACTTCAGGGGAGAAGTGAAAAAAGAGTGAGTTTTGAAGTTGATTAAGGAGCAGCAAGTAAGTCAGGAGTAAGTTACACAAGATATCTGTTCCCTAGCGATAACAAAGCTGCATCTGGTTTTCTGCAAGAACAGACAAACAAGGTCAGACAGCTTAATACTAATTTATAGCTCTGAAATGAGTGTGACTTTTTAAATTATTTTTATTTTTTAATTTTTTTTTCTTTTTAAGTACTCTACAGCCAAGTCTGCAATTACTGACCGTGTATAAAACTGCTTGGGGCTGGGGTAGGGGGCAGTGTGTGTAGTATGTCAGCAAATCAGACGTCATACCATCAAAAGTATCAGCTATACATTGACCAGTGATGTTCACTTGAACTCTATATAAACATGTAACAATGCCTGTTCTTTTTGGCATTACGCAGATAGGACCTTGTAGATACTACAATCCTCCTTTTCTTTTGTGCAGAAAGGAGAGGACAGGTCTGTTTCCTTCAGAGACATCAGAGAAAGGAAAAGGGAAAACATTCCCACTGCAGTCTCACAAACCTAGCTACAGTTCAGGTGACCTCACATGAACTTTTCCACAATAACGACTACATATTCTCTTGAAACACTGCAAGTGCTTTAAATGTCTGGTTTTCAACATTTTCCAAATGACAGATCTCAAATTATTTCAGTGGAAGCAAATCCCTCTAAAGTTCACATTTGTAGAGTGATACGTGGCACAGATTTGCATTTCCTAGCCAGCTTTCTGAAACATCTCAGTAGAAGAAAGAAACTCCATGAACTGCAGACTGAAATCCACAGATCTAGCTCTACTTTGGATCTGGCACAAGCAGCTGCTTTCTGACAGGCTCCAGCAACTGCAGTCAGAAGGTGCCTAGAAGCTTGTTAATACTATTGAAAGTGAGCCAGAAAAAGAATTCATCCTTCTCTGTCAGAACTACAATGGTTATAAAGGACAATAGCAAAGCACTCCATAATAAAAGTCTTTTTGTTACCCCACTAAAATAATGCACAGAGAAAGTGAGTGATTTAAAAGCCTCTTTTAAGCATGGGTACTTTTCACATGATAAACACAACATACTATAAAAAAGCTGCATACCAGTCTTCAGTGTGAGATAAACTAAATTTAATTCAGCAGCCATGTTTTCTCCACAAACTTCTTTCACTGTGCTCACTACAGAGATACCTATTAAGACCACCTACCTGCTTTTAATTTGTGGTAGAAGTTAGAAGTGGAAACATTTGAAATCTATGATTAGGTTTAATTCATGGTTACATGAATGCTTCCATACGGTCCTTGAGATAAGAGACAGATGAAAAAGAAGTAGCTGATTCTAATACATAAATGTACAGTGACTTTTACTGAGGCTTGAACTAATCCTTCTCACTTTGCTGTAAGTTGAAAAAAATGCTTACAGTCATGAAATAATTAGGCAGAACACATAAATAACCTACCAGCACTGTTCTCAGTAAAGGCATCAGGCTTCTCAAAATGGAAAAGGAAAAACAAGGAAACTGACCAACAAGACCAGTGTTTCTGTAGTACAGCACATTGAAGAAAGGCAACAGAAATGAAGAAAAGTTTCTTGTGAACTTCTAGACAAGGTAACAGAAGCCCTTTGGACCCACAATTTATTAATATATAACTACCAAGCAACAGGATGCAACCTGGACTTTATAATCCTATGCTAAAAAACCCAGGAGTGGTCCTGGGACTTCCACCGCCATGGCAAGGCTTTGCAGAGATTGCCTTTCTTCAGATAAGGTCTAAAACACACACTAAAATATAAAAGAGTGAAAGTGAAATAGATCCTACACATTTTCACCACACTCCATACATAATCCTCTCCGCGCTGTAGGGCTATGGTAACTTAACAGGGCAAACTTCATCCCATGGATGTCAGTGGGACTTTGGCAAGAGCTCCACACGTTTTTTTTACCCGTTCGTAGAATCTGGTTCTTTCTATGCCAAGCCTCTCTCTAACCATTCATTTTAAATAAGCAACAAAAACACACACAAAAGCGCAAAACAAAAAAACCTGAAGAAAAAACAAACAAAAGCCCACCACAAAGAAACAAAAACAAAAAACCAAATAAACAAAAAACCAAAAAAACCCTAACCAACCAAAAAGAAAACCTAAAAAATCCCCACCAAAAAAAAAAAAACCCAACAAAAAAAACCACAAACAAAAAACCCCAAAAAAACCCAACCACGGAAAAACCCACTAAAACAAAATCCCAACCAACCTGCAACATAGCAGAATTATGGAAACATTCATTTTTGATACAATGAACAACTAGCACAGTCTGGTAAGTCAATTTGCAATCTAGTCAATGCACAAGGCTGGAACAGTTGTAGAGGTTTTTTCTGTGACAGTCATGTACACCCCACCTCATAATTAGGAGGAATAAACCAAAATGCAAGTGCTCAGTGGTAAGTGAATACAGACACAGTATCCCTCAAATGAAAAACAGGAAACATGGGAATAAACATTCTTTACTTTCAGGTGACTGCACTCCTACAGTCTTTTGAGGGGAAATCCATGCACATTGTTGTGCGAAAAAAAAAAAAAAGCAGATGAGTACCTTTCACTCACTCCCTTTCCCCTCCTGCCCTGGCACTTTGCACAGCAAAGCCAGAAACTTAGCTCAGAGGGACACACATCATACTCCAAACCATCAAGACAAAGCATGGTGGAAGTCACTCCTGCTTACTGATCTAGCCTGAGAAGCAGGTCTCTGTCAGAGAACATTTCTTTTTCATTCTTCGTTGCTCATGGCAAAGCAAAGAAGACCCAGATCATAGTCTGGGAAAGAGACAACCACTATATCAGAATTAATAGTACGCCAAGTTCTTTCCTTGTAAGTAAAATCTTTCCTTCCCATCTTCTAGACACAGCAGCTCAGAAAAATTGTAACGCAACACAAGTGTAAAGATCAGCACCAACATTAAGGCACCTCAATAGAAACTGAAAGTCAAACAAATCACAGAGAGACAGAGAATATCCAGACAGCCATACATCATAAAATAGAGCTCCATTCCACTTTGCCATCTGTAACATTTAAATTAATCAATTAAAAAAAAAATAAATCAAGCGTATTTTGTCTATCACAGGCTAAATATACCAATTCATTACAATTATGTACAACACAGGTAACTTACACCTTTAAATGTCTTATACCTAGTACATAAATTACAGGTCTAAAATGCATTACTCTTGTGGTAACTTCCAGTATTATTTTACAACATTTTTGTAACATTTACAATATTACACCAATGTTACACTTTCTAAAGAGCCGAAATTTTCACTAAAATGTAATGAATTAAAATGTAATGAACTAGATTACTTCTATGTGGATATGGCTCAGGGAACAATTAAGAGTTCCCTACATTATTTTTTAAAAAATAAGTTTTTGTTCTGATTTTAACAATCTTTACTCTGAATTCACTGGCTATGGTATGTAATTATTTTATGGTTTTCTTTTTTTAAAACATCTATTTGAATTGGATATTACTTTCAAAAAATCATTCCATTTTTAAGGCAGATTCATATTGACATATATGATGAAAATTATTCCTTGCAGGCAAGATAAAGTCACCCAAAGTAGACAAGAAAAAATAATTTGTTTTTGGCAAAGAGTGAAAGTTATTTAATTATATTTTTGATCTTCTATTTTATTCGATTGATGAGAAACCCTACAGAGCTTTACATATTTTAAAGATCAAGTTTCTATGCCAGAAGAAAAAAAACCAAAAGGCCAGAAGCAAACAGAATGAGTGCATTTGTATAAGAGGAAGCAGGGATGGAGGTTGTATTGGATTTGTGTGGCCAAATTTTGATAGCGTGGGGGGCTACAAGGGTGGCTTCTGTTCGAAGCAGCCAGAAGCATCCCCCATGTCTGGTGACGCCAATGCCAGTCAGCAGGATGGACCTGTCACTGGTCAAGGCTGAGCCAACCAGGAATGATAGTAATGCCTATGGACAAACACATTTAAGAAGACAAAAATGTTATTGGGCAGATGAAAACATCAGTCGGTGATGAGGGGAGTGAGAACATGTGAACAACTCTGCAGACACCAAGGTCAGTGGAGAAGGAAGGGGAGGAGGTGCTCCAAGTGCCAGAGCTGAGGTTCCCCTGCAGCCCGTGGTGCAGACCATGGTGAAGCAGCTGTGCCCCGGCAGCCCATGGAGGTCTACAGGGGTGCAGAGATCCACCTGCAGCCCGTGGAGAAGACCCACACCAGAGCAGGTGAGTGCCTGAAGGAGGCTGTGACCCTGTGGGAGGCCTGTGGTGGAGCAGGGTCCTGGCAGGGGCCTGCTAACCCATGGGGAGAGGAGCCCACACTGGAACAGGTTTTCCTGGTAGGACCTGAGGCCCTGTGGCGGATCCATGCTGGAGCAGCCCTTGCCTGAAGAACTGCACCTCATGGAAAAGTGACCCATGTGGCAGCAGAGAGCTGTTGGATGTGGGATGGACTTACACTGGAGAAGTTCATGGAGAACTGTCTCCCATGGGAGGAACCCCAAGGGAAGCAGGGGAAGGACTCCTCTCCCTGAGCAGCAGTAGAAACAACAACCAACTGTAACCCTCATTCCCCATCTCCCTGTGCTGCTAGGGGGGGAGGAGGTAGAATTTGGAAGGAGGGAGGGGTGGTGTCTAAGATTTATTTTGCTTTTCATTCTCCTGCTCTGATTCTGTTAGTAATAAATTTAATTAATATCCCCACTTTGAGGTGAGATGGTACACTGTCTAATGAAGTAGTTCCTACTCTTGTCTAATTTCAAACCTTTCACAAACTTAACCAATCAATCATTAACAAGTGTTGGGCTGCAGTTTCCCAATCTCAAATGTACAAGTGAGTAAACTGCTATAAATCTGCTACCAGGGACATCTTGCCATATATGACTGATTTCACAAGAGGCTGAAATTTGTCCTAACACATGGCAGAGACCTGGCCACTCCCTTGCTTGCAAAACATCGCGTAGCTGCCAAACAAGAGAAAATGTCCTTCCGTCCAGCTGGGACTCAGACTCCTGCACTGAGATTACATAGCTGAACTACTGAGAGCCCATCCTCTGACTGAAAGGCTAAATAATTTGTTAGCCTATGGCTGGTATCCTCAAGTAATTTTTCTATCTACATCACCCACACTTTCAATTAAGAATCGTAGTGTGTTATTCTCCAATCAAAGTCTAATCCTCCTTCCAGTCACTAACGAGTTCTCTCGAGATCCATTATAGAGCACTTGACGTATCACTTTCATGATATAGTCATTTTTATGGCCAGAAGAAGCCATAAGCAGTCTAACCTGACTTTCTGTAGTGCACAGGCCATGATACTTTAGAAAGCCCTCTCTTGGAGTGAAAGCGGGGATGGAACTGAATGTGGGGTGGGTTTTAACTGATCAAGGAGTAACACTGCAGCCTACAAATGCTTTTACACTTACTAATCACAGTCATGCTAGGGAGCCTAATAGATCTACCTGTATCAGTTCCCAAAACAAAACATGATACTAGTCCTAGAGAAAATCTTTTAAAAACCAGCCAAATCCCAGGATTTGGGTACATGCCCGCTGCAATTAATGAAAACACTGCCAGAATAAGCACTGCGAGGTCTGTATCACTAATAGCTGTATCACAGGACTTTTGAGATACCACCCACACATTCAGTGTGTGGCAAAGACCACACTACGAGCTGGTGCCATCCTGTACAACTCCATCGAGTTGCACATCAGTAAAGAGGAATGAAATGGGAGAGAAGCTAATGTTATGTAATTATTTGACTCATCTGCTGAAACATGCTAAAGAAACACAGAAGTCTTTGGTGGTTAAAGACAAGAAAGCAAAGGTAAGTTACTGTTTCACAGAATCACAGAATATTCTGAGTTGGAAGAGAGCCACAAGGATCGCTGAATACAGCTCTTAAATGAATGGCCCATACAGGGATCCAGCCTGCGACCTTGGTGTTATTAGCACCCCGCTCTAACTGAGATAATCTATTTTGGCAAGTTAAACTCCTGCAATCTAAACTGCAGTATCTCACTATCTGCAATCTAACTGTGTATCTCAGTCAGAGATACACCAATAGTTTTAACTCTTTAGCTTGGGAGATATGATCAAAACAAAACAACACTAACAATTCATGCTTGAAGTTGCGCAAAAAGCCTCACCTTCAAAAAAATTTGGTCTGGAAAAGCAAAGTAGCAAAACAGCACACTAGGTAGGGGTGGTAAAGCCTCACTCTTTTCACAATGACATCTGCCACAGGAGAAGACTCAGATGCATCAAAACACAAAGGCAGGAAACATTTCAGCTTTAGGACTCAAGTATATTTAGCCATCAGCACCTGAGCTAAAATTACTCACCAGTTTTACGTTGATTAAAATAAAAAAATTGCTAAGCAATGGCTGTTAAACTGACTTCCTGGGTAACCAGTAATGCAGTAATACAAAGTGACCCGCCATCCAATCCTATCCCCACCAATATTTTTCATTTCTTCTTCTGTTACCCACACACTTACAATGTTCTTTTCCGAATTTATCAAGTATTGAGCTATAAGTCCA